TGGGCACCCCAAATCTCTGTCCTGCACAGTAACACGTCTCTTTGGAAGACCCATTAATTAGCAAGACTCTTTTCAACGCAAGCAATTGACAGTTTTACAAAATTCTGATATGAGGTTTCAACGATGTCAACATATCACCGGAAGGAAAAAAAAAAGTTAGATATAGACATTACTGTTCTTTGGTGGTTGTTTTGATCATTTCCTCTACTTGCCTTAAGAGCATAAATTTCATCTCTCTTGGTTTTGTGCTCACAGTGTACCTATATAGCTCTCTCCATTTACTAATTGTGACACCTATCTGTGCTTGCGTTTTAAAGCTGGAGTCAACTTGTTTCAAACACACGCATTTAACCGCTTTCTGCTCCCCGCCTCCTCGCTACCTTAAGAGCTTATGACACCTTTGCTTGCAAAAAGTTACTCCTTTTCTGATTTCTTATCAGGCTCGAGTGTGGGCTGTGGTTATTTCCCAGAAGTGGGCATCCGTTCCCCATTTTATCAGAGAAACTCTTAAACTCACTCCTGACAGAAACAGAGAAAAACTCCATTAAACGGAAATGTCCTGTCCATACCTATTTGCAGATCCTCCAAGACAAATGAAGTAAAAACAGTAATAATGACACTGTATTTCTTTATATTCTATAGATAAACACAGGCATAGAAAACAACAACACCTGAAGTCATATCTTGGCTACACATAGTATCTCTTTTCTTCTCAACAGCCCAGAGAATTGGCTATGCCCTAAAGCTTATGCAGCAAAACGTCATGCGAAGTCCCTAAGGTCAGTCAGGATCCCTGAGCTGTATTCCTAGGTTCCCTTTGCTAGTTATGTGACATTAAGTCACAAACCCTTAAGACACTTAATTTCCTCATCTGTCTACCTATTTCTCAGGGTGGAGATAAGGAAGAAATTACGCCCTTTACATGAATGGACTTTCTTTTCTATGCAAAATAAAGTTTACTAGTATCATGATATCAATATTTACCAATAGGAATACCAACATTTACCAATATATAGTGTTGTGTTAATCCTTAAAATGTTTTTTTATTGACTCAGTCATATTCAGACAGCTCCTTAAAAGCTGTCATCAGGTCT